ATATATATATATATATATATATATATTAAATCCATACGCATGGTTTTTATTTGGACATCATTTTGTATGTAAGAAACCAATAATTATTAAATGTTGATGAAAATTCATATTGATAAACTATATGCTAATACATCAACACAAATTTAAATATTCTTTTTTTAATTGAATTTTCTTATCAAAGTAACACATTATAACCTATAACTACGTAACAGAATTTTATTAATGTCGCGACATTTGCCAACAAGACCCTAGCTAGGTGAAGCCTAGTTTTTTAATAATAATATAGAAAATGTTAAAAAAATGTTTATTTAAAAAAATGTAAAAATATTACAAAGATATGGTACTGTTTATGGCCTAGTAATGTGTTATATACAACTAATTCTATTTATTTATTTTTTTTAGTAAAAAAAAATATATTAAATTTTGAAAGTAAAAAATATTTAATAGAATGATTTAATGATCAATTTAAAAAAATAGATACATAAATTTTTTCTTAAATTTATTGAAGCTATCACATAAATTTTAAATATTTTTAATTATTCTTAAAAATTTAAACACAGAAAAATGATTAATTACTTTTTGAAAAATGGATATGTAAGGATTTATTGCTAAATGAGTAACAACATATTTAATTATTAAGTTCAAAACATTTTACCCTATAAATACGCATTTTACTAATTAAGCCATTTAATGTTTTTGCTCCATTGAAAGAAAGTTATGATATCGAAATTGATTGCTCCAAGAGTATTTCTGTACTTGTTATAATATTGTAATAAAGATTCGTAACATTCATTTTTAATATCATCATAAATATTCAGTGTACGATCACCTTTTTTTGATATTTTGTACAAATTTTCATTATATGCACCATAACTTTTCAATAACTCTTCTAGTTTTTTAAATAAAATATTGATTAGTGCTTTCGCCGATTTTTTATCTTTTCCTTTCTCGTCATCAAACACTTTAGCTATTTGGCTATATATTGGAATACCTGAAATACCAGCATAACGTATAATAGTTTTTATTATTTTTGAGGGTCTAGTATAATATAGACTAAGTTTATCTTGTAATTCTTTTTCGGTAATTGGTATTTCTGTAGGTTTTTTGCTTTTAGACTTAACAAGTATTAAATAGTTAATCAAGTGTCTCGCTGAATAATAAAGCAATGCAATTTTCATGACATCGGAAAGAACATTATAGTAGTTTAAAATTAAATATGGATTTCTCTTCCATTCAATAATTGCTGATTTATAATTAGCCTGTAATTTTCTAATTATTGGTTTAAAGTTAATGTTATCTATATGAGGGTAAAAAGTGATAAAACATGTGACTTTTTTATTAAATAGAAAGTCATATACCCCTAAATTATTTTCGTATTTAAATAAAGATAATAATTCATTATTGTCTCCTGGTTTTAGTTTCATTTTTTTTAAAAGATCTATAGAAATTTCAACGCTTTTTTTTAAATCTTTTAAACTGTCCACAATGTTTGGTTCAAGATTATGCAAATAATTACTTTTTCTGCATGATGCAACATATTTATTACAAAAAATTAATGATTCCTCACTGTACTCATAAAATTCTTCAAAATCAAGTTTTCTTTTTTCAAGAGCATTTAAACTTAAGAAATACTTCCACATCCAATTTGCCGGAGATTGTTGGGAAAATATCACAACAGATATCATTCGAGCGATAGCATCTCTATAAATGGCAACATATTCCTCATAACCGTCTAAAATTTGGTACGTTAAGTCTTGTTTTTTAAATATGTTGATAATATACTCTTTATTAGGCTCAAGTTGGTGTGCTAATGAGGATACAGTGTCTGTACGATAAAATTCTTCTAAATCCGATAAGTCTTCGCTTTTTTGTCTTGTTATTTCTTTAATGGGAGTAGCTGATTCTTCATCAACATACAAGAGTAATTTTGAATCACCAAAGGTTATTGATTTTGATCTTTCGAGTCCTTTAAAAGGTTTACCCTGATAGGGATTTGTCACAATGGTTGGAAACTGTTTTAAATTCATTGCAATAAGTTGTATTACATAACTGTAAATACAATTAATTGCAGTTGTTTTGGAATTCAACTTTTCGTCTAATTGTGGATACTTTTGTATGTTATCGGAATTAATAAGCGAGGCAATCGTATGTATGTCATCTGAAGAAAATGAAATTTTATTTCTTTCCCATGTAGGTATTTTTTGTAAATGGCCGATAAATACATCTGAGTCCTATAATAATTAAAATATAAAATCTATATTAAAAAATATATTAACATTGCTTAACAGTCAATTAAAAATGTTTACATTTTTATTGAATTCATTTTGCTTAAAAAAAATAATTGAAGAATAGGTAAAGATAACGTCCTATGAAGAAATTATTGAATCTCATAGTATCGATGAAAATAAATATTAGTCTGTAAATAAGTTGAATGATCATCGGTCCCGTGCTAATGTAATTATTATGAGTGAAAAGATCATGTTAGAACATTCCTAATTTAAAAAATACTAAAAGTATTAATAAAAAAAATAATAATCTAAATTACAGTCTTGGGACGGTAGATAGTTGTGAAATTTTTTACTAATAAATATTGGCTATTGGTTTCAATTAAACTTAAAAATGGCAGACTTAATTGAATCAGTGTATGATAAATAAGCATAAATTTTTTTTTATAAAATCAGTTCATTATTCATTTTTTATTTTACATGTTACAGTTCCTTCACAGTTTAATAATTTTTTCATTACTATCATCTTTAATAATTGTTATTATCGACTTATGATAGCTAAAATATGATAAAACGCGCGCGCACACTTATATATATATATATTTTTTTATAAATAGAATGTGTGTATACAGATATAATAGATTGAAAGCGTTACAACCGCTGCGTTACATTTGTCAGTGTTACTAATTTGTATCACCTGTTTACTCTCATAAAATCCCAAACCCTCCAAGAAGTTTTCGCTTCAAAACAAAAAATGAAATTGTTATTTAGTACGTTATTCCCGATAAAGCTTCAATTATTAATGATAAATTTATTAGTTAATTTACAGTTTTATGGATAAGAATTTTAATAAATATTTAAAGTTTGTAGAATAACTTGAGTATAAAACTAATAACTTGAAAATTAATTTTTATTGGTATTATTAATCTATTTTTTTCAAATGTTCTAAAAAATTAATAAATTATATATTAAACTAATAAAATGAAAAAGTACTTCTAATATTAAAGTTAATTGTTGTTATTAATGTGAATAACGATCTATTAATTTCGACCATTAATTCATTAGCTATTCATTCTAAAATAATTATCATGCAATATTATTTATTTGTATTATAATCAAGAGTGCACTACGTATGTGGAGTAACTTATAAGTTATCTTATTTATTTTATAAATTTATCAAATTTGATAAATTACAATATGTATTTATAACTAGTTTCTAGTAATATATTAAAATAAAATAATATAAAAAAATTTTTTTATATTATAGAATTTTTTAAAAAAATGTTTAAAATAATAATTTGAATTTTTTTTAGAATATAACTTATTTCTGATATTACCATGAAATTTATTAATACTTGTATTTTTCTATACGTAAATGAAATAAGAAAATTTGATTTTTATTGAAGCTTTCTGTAATTTGTATATGCGATCCTGTTTTTAATTTGATTTAACATATTCTTTATATATGTAAAAAAACTGGCTATTCATTTTAGTAGTTACTCCATATAGAAACATTTTTAGGTAATGTATTCAATAATTTTGTTAATATGATGTATTCAAAAAAGTGAAGTCACGTACAAGAATGTCGAGAGTTTTTTAGAAGAATTAATACAGTAGGTGTTAGCAAATATATGTTCTAAATAAAAATTTTAATAAAAAATGAAATGTATATCTTAAAAAAATATATTCATAAGTTACATCTATTTAATATTTTCAGTCATCAGCGCCTATTTTCAAACATCAACTTTTAATACATCCATCATTAAGGTTTCAATATATTTTTAAATAAAAATTAAATACTATTTAAAATAAAAATGTTTAAAATACCTTTAAAGCTATCAATAAAATTGGCTGAATTTGAATTATTGATATTATGATGACAAAAAAGTAAAATTTTAACGAACACATGATGTATTTTAGTAAAATTTTTATACATGTAATAAAATTAACTGCTAAAGACGAATAGAAACACTTGTGCTTAATATAAATGTTGTGTGTAATTTACTTGGGTTGCTAAATGTACAGAAATATATACAAAATTTATTGTGTTTTAATTTTTATATATTATAATGGAAAAAAATACAACGTACGCGATTGTATCCATAAATAAAAATAAGATCTAATAAATAATCATTTAAATATTTTATTAACTTAATTATAATGAGTTATTAATATGATTATTACATCAAATAAAATAATAAAGTACCATCTTTCCATTAACGTCAGCCAACAATTATAATTAGACTAATATTACATTAAAAAAAGAAATATAAATGGTCTACTTGGCGTGAACAATGAGTTTAGTTACATTTAAAATTATCATATTGTATCAAAATAGCATAAATTTGGATAATTTTTTTTATGTACGATGTACAAATGTTTTTTCATATATTTACCATTTAATAGAATCCTTCGAAAATAATATAAAATGTGAAACAATAAAAATTATGTTGTTGGAATGTCATAGGTGTAAAGAGAATGATGTAGGAGTCCCTTTAAAATTTTATATGATGCACCAAGAGTTGAAAAAGTGTATTTTGATATTTTGGAATAAAAAAAAATGAATGTAAAAATAAAAAATAAAAATTTTTAATTGATTAAAGATTATCTATGTTTTTTGCCACTTTTATCCCATTAGATCTAGGTGTCTAGCATTTATTAAAAATGTATGACACATATATTTTTTGTCTAATGGTCGATAGGATTGAATTGGAATCGATTTCATGCATATGATGGAAGAATAAATTAAAAAAAAAAAAATAGAACTAAATAATTTGTTTAAGAATATTTGATCAAACTTAATAATGTTAACTAATGAATATTTATTGAAAATTTAGGAAGGTAATATAATCATCTTGTTCTTGATTAATAGTCTAATTATACATGAATATTTACATAAACATTTGAGTAAAAAAAGGTACTATGACTTGTTAATATTTTTCACTACTATGACTTTTCAATTTGCTGTATTTCTATAACTTTTTTGTACTTCATTTGTTATACAAAGATTAAAATTAATGACCTTTAAATAATTTTTTTTTTGAAGATGCAATCGAAAAATTAACGACAAAAAAATGTTATACAATTACCGTAAATTGAGGTTAATTTTGTCGTCAAGTATAAAGGCGTATACTTCTAAACGTTTATAAGTAAATTTTACTAACTTTTATAAACTCGAAAACAAAAAATTCAAAAATTAGTAAACTTGTAATGTTGGAGTCCGTTGTAGCGTTGGAATAGTGACCTACTAGACGGGTCAAGCATTAGGGAACAATTTTAAACGAAGACAAAAAATGTCTTATTATTAGATTACAAGCACACAATATTTAACACATTATAAAGGACAGAAAAGATGATAAAGGTTAATGGAGGTTACTTGTAGTATATTGATGTTTTCTAGACTCATAACCGACCATATTAAAATACTCACAACATCATAATCTGACACAAAAATAGCTCATTTAATCAACATTTTCGTTTAAGCAAAAAAGAAACGGAAGACAAAAAAAAATTACAGCCCGGTTGATCCGTCTAAATACGGTAGGTGTCAGTAGGACAATTAGACGTTTCATTTATAACAAATAACAGCAAACATAAAAATAAAGAAAATTTGGTTTCCACCATGGAAGACATAAACAAAGATTTCTTTTTTACGTTTTTGTACCTCGGTAGTCTATTAGAGAGCGATCGTTCACGTTACAGAGTCATGTATGTGGTGTTCATTTGGAACTGGTTCATAGGTATATATAGTGAGTTGCATAGATATTAGGGATGCACTGTGTGTGGTCAGCTGACTCAACAAATTGGGTATTGACTACCGGAACTATTGACTTGTGTACTAATTTATTTTAACATGAATGTGTTTAGTATGTCCACAATTTTACAATTGTGGACATACTAAACACCTACTGCAAATATGACCCACTAATGTCAAGATGATTAATTTAATTTGTAAAAACATTACAAACTTTTCTTCGAAGTAGACTATTTCCAACTTCGTTTAATTGAATTATCTTAATATCTATACACATAAATTTTGGAGTAACCAAATTTTTTACTTGTTAGTCATTCAGGACCATTTTACAATAATGTAAAATATAATAAAAACAAATTAAAGTTAAAAATAAGGAATTGTATAAAATTATGTATGGTAAGTTAGTTAAATTAGTGTTATTGGTAAAATTATTTAGTTGTAAAATGATGATGATCAATATTTTTAATTTAAAATGTTTAGTTAAATTAACAATAAGTAGTAAAAAAAATTATACTGAATATAGGTGTGTTATACATATACAGGGTGTTCAGTAAGTCAGGAAACGGGTTTCTATTGTTCTCATTGTTACAAACAATGAAACCCGTTTCCTGACTTACTGAACACCCTGTATACATTTTGGCTTAGGTTGTAATAAAAGGGATATGCTATCAGATAAAAACAATACAAATTATGACGTTTGCACCATAAAATATCCATAAATAAAATTTGTGTGAATTAATTTATAATATTTAATAATGCATAAGCAAAATATCGTCTTAAAAGAGTAATTTATTTTGATTTCTTTTACACTTGAGCAAATTTGACACGGCATATATGTTGGAAATGTACACATAATAGTATTAAAATTTAAACATTTTAATGTTCGTTTTGTGGTTATTTTAGAATTTTTTTTTACATTATAATATATTATTTTGTAATTTATGTCTGATTATTTTTCAATTTTAGACTTGTTCAATGTTTTCATTAAATCGATGTAACTTGCAGGTTAGATTGTCAGATTAAACACGACTAAAATAATACAATTGTTAGATCAGCTAATAATTTATTCATTATAACTTATTAATGAATATTAATGAAAAAAAATTATTATAATGAATAAACTTATTCATTATAAAAATAAAATTTGTAAAATATACAAAGTTTAATTATAATGCTATTTAGTTTTTTGTGTCTCTTGAATAATTTAAAAAATATAGAGATTACTATATTGAACCCTTTTAATCATTGTAGCTTATTTATTTATTAAAATGTGTATGATAAAATTAGATTTTACACAGAAAGTGTAATTATGCCTTTATCATATCAAACAAGTAAATTTTAAAAAGTTCATTAAAAAATTAATGAATGACTTGTGTTGTTTTTTGAATGACCAAATCGATTGCTTTAGTTACCAAATTTGAAAAATTTTCTGGCTAAATTAAAAATGAAAAAAATGTTTTTAGAAAATTATACAACCAACATTCTATTATAAAATTAATATTCTAAATAATTAAAATTATAATTATTAGATTGCTTTGTAGGATAAATGGTTGTCAATAAAATACTCTAATGCGATTTTAGCTATCCCATCGTTTATAAGAAAATTTTTTCTAAATTTAAAAGTCCATCTGTCGAAACACAATTTTTTTTTAATAAAAAACTATTATATTTATATTAATTTCTTATTATTATATTCAATTTCTTTTAAATTAAATATTAATGATTTGAGTTTTATTAAACACTAAAGATAAAAAAATCTTAATAAAAACTCAATTTAACTTTTAAACAATAATTCAAAATTAGGATAAAAAATCCAGCACAGGGGAGTCGCGGCACAGTAGTGACGTGGCATAGTTGGATCAAGTATAATGATATCTGACAGTGATTAAAATCACTATAAAAAAAAAACGCTTCGATGCAAATCTTTAGATAGTGTTTAATTTTAAAAAATTGGTGGATTATTCCAAAAGCTACATGATCTGCTATTTTCTTATTAATATCCTGAATGAAAAAGGGATTATTAAAAAATATTATTTTTCACGAAAAAATTTTATTGATCCATACATTTTTTAAAAAGTTATAGCATTTTAAAGTAAAAAATGTAAAATATAAAATCGAGAAATTTCACACAAAAATAGCATTCGGTAGCCATTTTCACCCTGAAGATAAAATAAAGTCCGAAATTTTTTTTTTTCATGATAAAGTATATTACATTAGCTTTAATTTAAGATATTTATATATAAAAGTGTCAGACCTTCCGGAACATTTTCAAAAGTTAAGTTGAAAAAGTTAATTTTTTGTGAAAAAGTTTTTATTTTGAATCCCCCCTGTAGGCTGGTAAAGGGTTAAATTTATAAAAAAAATATACCAAATGATAGGTAAAGACATCAAAACTCTATAAAAAAAAATATATATATTTATTTGTTCATTTTTGAAAAAGTTACGGCAGTTTTTAGTAAAAAAAATTGAAAAAATTTCGAAAATTAGCGATTTTTAAATTAGTAATTTTTTTGGAGATTTTCCCCATTAACGGGGAACGAGGGAAATTTTTTCAATGTCTTTGACTAGATAAAATTTGTGATCTTTTGACGTATCATTGAAAGAAATCCGTTCGGTGGAGCTGAGAAAAAGTGATAACTGACACAAAAAAAAAAAAATAAACACATCATAGTAAAACCAATACCTTCTCAGCTTCGTATAGAAGCTAAAATTAGACGATTGTTTTCAAGTTTTTTTTTAATGTTAAATAAATTTTAATGTGTTATGGAAAAATGATTTTTTTAATTGGGCAAGTTTACTTTAGTTAATTTTAAATAATTCTTGAAAAATTATTTTTTTATGTTTTCTTTAATTATAATGAAGTTACTTTTTGCTCCCTTAAAAAATTTTTGCTATATTATATCAATTTTTAATTGGTAAACCAAGTAATTAAAAAAAATGTAATGTCAAAATATTTAGAGGAGAAAATTGACCTCATAATCCCTTAAGGTATGCTTTTGAATAATTATTAGATTCATTTTTTTCAATACCATAGCTAGTTCAATTAATTGTAAGCAAGTTATTTTATATTTAGAAATTTCTTATACAAATAACGAAAAAAATGTCCTTATTTTATTTTTATTTAAAAATCCCTACTAATACTTGTTCAATTTGAATAAGACTAAAAATTTCAAATACATTTTATACTTATTGTTTTTTTTCTAGCTACTGCACAAAAAAAAAATGTTTTACTTTATATTTATTCATACTCAATATCAGTTTAGAGTCGTCATCTCTGTCTTAGGCGACAGACTAATCACCTATCTTAGTGGCTAAAATTAAAAAATGATTAACTATTATTAAAAAAAATCAAATTTTTATAATCTGTGTATTTAATGTAATTTCAGTAATTGGATATCTAAAGAAAAAATATGCTAGCGCGTTGAAAATTAGACCCTTAAACTTAACATCAATTTATAGTCCGTTAGCAACTTTTACTCGGTTACCCAGTTATAAACAGTAAACAATTTTACTAATTGAATTTTTGTTAAAATTTTCATAATTATTAGAGACTCCTATTAAAATTTTTAAAATCTAAACGTCTGCTTAATGTTAACGACCTTGTGAAACAAAAAAAAACTTTAAATTATTTATCATTCTATACATTGTGTACAGAATATTTTATTGAATCAAATAAAATAAAATACGTTACATATGATTATATACATTTTTTTTTCATTTAATTTAAAAATAGATCATTTAAGTAAAAAAATACAATGATAAATTCATAAATTTCTACAAAAACAACATATAAATAGTATTGGTGGTACTTTAAATAAAAAATAAATTTTAATACACTAAATAAAATTCAAAATAAAGTTTTATATTCTAGTGTCAGTGTAAATAATCTTAAAAACTTTTAAATAACTCTTTATAAAAAACAAAAATCTTAGAACAGAATACCCATTTAAAATATCATTCAATTTTATTAATTGAAAAGACTTTCATCTAAAAATTACTTATATTCAATAAACATAGATTAAATCTAGAAAAATTGCAAAAATATTTTTTCTCAAAGTTTTCTTAAATAAATTTGAAGACTTTGGTTAATGGCGTTTTATGTTTTTTTATATGAGTGTGTTTATTCAAATGTATAAAATAATTTTGATTTACTGTTATTATTTTATGAACTATAAAATACTAAATGGTTTTTAAACACATATTATTTTAATGCAATAGTTAGAAATTTAGTATAATTATATACATTTATTTTGAAATGTATCATCGATGGAAAATTGTAATAATATTATTTTCATTTATCATTGAAAATACAATGGTGTTTAATATAAAGGTAAATAATAGCAATAATTTATTGTTAAAATAATATTTAAATTTACATTTGAAAATTCTTTTTATGTTTTAATTCTATTTTAACTTAATAATTACAATAAATATTTAAGATATAATTATAATATACCCAATTATAATTTTCTGCATAATGATAATACTGGCAGATCGCTTATAACATATACATTAAAGTATTAATTTGCAAACACCTTATGCTACTATAGTTTAATCGCTATTTTCAATACTGAGTAAATAAATATAGAATGCCAATAAAAATATTGTTATACTATAGAAATAACATGATTAATTAGTAAATTTTTAATTAGACTTTTATTTTCTTAAAATTTACAAAGTCTAATTAAAATGTATCAAAACTATCAAATATATTTATTTCTTAGATATAGTTATGGATATATTTTTTCTTCAAAACAGGTTTATTCTTGCTAACGAAATTTGGATTTTGGTGCATTAATGAGAGCCCCATGTTAAAAATGTTTCCTCAACATACGCTTATTTTATTGGGCCATTATTTTTATACAGATTATAATCGGTTGATCTCTTATAATCGGGTATTACTATTAGTACTGGATCCCGTAATTACAAGGGACACTAATTCAAAGTTTATTGACATTGTTGTCTATATCGAATGTACTTAATAACATTAATCACTTGATACGAGAAATATAATCTGATTTATTACTACATGTTCAAGCCTTGTAAAATTTAGTCGATGAAAATTTATATAAATTGCATAAATTAAAATGAAATGAAATAGTTTTGGACATAATTTTTGTAGGATTTAATGATTTATAGAAACGCAAAACATTTATTTATGATTAGAAGAGTTTTAAACATTCTATTAGTATTTACACAATATCTATTTCTTAAAAATGCTATCTGAAAAACAAAAATGTCTCAATTTAACAATTCACTTAATTTAGAGGTCAATACTCATAGAGGATCTTCTTCTTCTTCTTCCTCGCCTTAATTCCAACTACTTGGGATCGGCCACCCTTATCCTAAACTTCCAATTGACACGATCTCCCACATCATCTACGTTTAAAACAGCCGTCATCATATCACGTTCAATAACATCCTTCCATCTCTTCCTCTACCTCTTCTTGCATCAACATTCCTCATAGAAGAATGTCACTACTCATAGAGGATAACTCACCAAAATGAAATTTTTTAAATAATGTATTACACTAAACATACTTTAATTTAAAATAATTTTGAATGCTGCGACTATTCCGTTACTTTACAAAAAAATACAAAATCTGACATTTTTACTGAAAACGTTATTATTTTTGGCTTTAGTTTCCAGCAACTATTAGAAATTGAAATTTTATATATTTTTTTTTTCAAAAAATTTTATATATTTTTTTTCGCTTTGTATTAGTTTTATTTAGTGAAAGATTAAGATGTGTGTTTTTTTAACATTAAAAAAAAAAATTGAAAAGAAAAAAATGTTATTTGATGATAATGTCCCTTCCAGTACTTTGATAAATATAGAAACTTAAAAAAAGACTGTTGAAAGTAAGAAACTTATTTTAAATATTATTAGAAGGATGAAAGTAATCCGTTACTATGAAAAAAACAACAAAATCATCCATTTTTATAAAAAAAAAAAAACTTGCTAGAGTAAAATAAATAACTTTTTGGCTACTCTTCAAAAATATTAAAATAATAGAACTTTAACTTCATTGAATCATTTATTAAATATTGAGCATAAGAAAAGAAACAAATAATGAATTTATTATTTATTAATAATTTATTATATCCAGTTTTCACATTTGCTCATTTCAAATAAATTAATAACATAAAAGTTTAGTGGTTCAATGATTTTTTTAAAGTAATCATAATACTTTAAAAGGCTAATAGAACATTCAGTAATTTTAAGATCATAAATATTATTTGTTAAATATTTTGTTATGTTTTTATTTAAATTATCATCAAATGCATTGTACTTGTTGAGTAGATTTTTAAGTTCTATGAGCAAATGATTAATAAAATCATCTAATATTGATTGATCATCTTTATTATTTATGTCGAAAAATTGTACTATATTTTTATAAAAATCGTCATTGTTTATATCAAGAAATTGTAAAATAAGTTTTATTATATCTAATGGTGATTCTAAAAACCATTCCAAAGTTTTTTGTGTATTTTTTCGAGTTGCTTTTAGTCGAATATTTGTTATTATAGACCATCTATTTTCTATATAATTTTTTAAATGCTTATATGAGTGATAGACTAAAACAATTTTCATGATATCGCTAACAATTTGATAGAATTTAGTGATTGAAAATGGATCTTTGTTTAACATAACATCTGCATTGTTGTGAAAAAAATCTAATTTAATTTTTATTCTATCCCAGTTTATACACTTTATTTTGGGTAAATTAATTAAATTAGATTCATTTTTTGTCCAAAAAATATCGTATATTCCTAACATATTTTCATATTTAAATATTGGAATTAAATTTTCATTATCCGATATTAATTTCAACTTTTCTAGAAAATAAATTGGATTTACATCAATTTCCTCTTTTAGTTTCCCGTCAACTTTAAAATCTATTATTTTATTAAGTTCGATGTTTCCTAAATAATTGTCACATGAGCATTGGTCTATAAATGTATCAGCGTTCTTGATGTAATTTAGAAATCCATTTTTATTTATTAAGTTTTTTTCTATTGCTTTTAGATATAAAAATATCATCCACATCCAGTTAGCTATTGTACTTTGACTCATTATCAGTACAGATATCATTCGAGCTATACATCTTACGTACAATTTTAAATGACAGTGATTATTTATTATGTTGTCGTCCACTTCCATTTTATTATTTATATTTATTTTGTAGAGTTGATTTAGACTTTGATTTTCTGTAATATCTCTAATACTCTGTTCTCTTATATTAGTTAAATCAATTTTTCTTTTTTTTAATATTTCACTCACCATAACACTACTATTTTTATCTATTAAAAGTAATTCAGCGGTATTATTAAATGTAACATGTCTTTTATCAATCGAAGAAATATCAAGATCCTCTAAAATAATTTTAATCGCATAGGTATAAATACATCTCAATGCTACAATTTTTTTTTTATACTTGTCATTCAATAGATTGTTTTTCCATTTGTCACTTTTGAAAGCAATGAATTGTTTAAGTTCTTTGTCTGAGAAATGTATTCTTTCTGACTCCAATGTTGGTATATAGTTTAATAATTTGATGAATATTTCATAATCTTCCTATGAACATAAAACATATTAATGAAATTTAAAGCTAATCAAAAACAATGGGTTTAAACTATAATTTTTCTTTATTTTCAAATTTTCGGATAATAATAAAAATAATTAGAGGAGAGCTGAACGAGATAACGATTAGGGAAAGATGATCTTTTTGGATTAAAAAAAATATGATGACGCTTGTTAACTTTTAATAGAGATATTTTTAAATATATTAATCAAACAATGACAAATTATTCGAAAATAATTTAATTGAACACGTATTTTTTTTTAAATCACATTTAAAGTTTATTGGCAAGAATTATATAATACTGTTGTTTTACAACTTCAGGCTTAAACTTGAGTGTTAATAAATAAATGATATTCTTTTTATTTCATTAACTAAAGAAAAATATTATGAATATTAATATTATAATATTATAAAAAGTATTTCATAATTTAAGTCTTATAATATTTAGGAGAGTGTTAGAGTATTATTGAGTAAAAATAAAATGAAGATTTTTTTTTTGTTATTTGTATATGACATTTTTTCTATAAAATAACTTAAATATAATGAGTTGAGCAAACCTAAATACCTTTTCCTTAAATGAAGAGAAATATATTATAATTACACTGTAATTTTTAGCTTCGACGCGAAGCTGAGAAGGTATTAGTTTTATGATTTTAGTTTAGTGAAGTGTTTTTTTTTTTTTGGAGTCTGTTACCACTTATTCTCAGCTCTCACCGAACCGATTTCTTTCGACGATACGTTAAAAGATCACAAATCGTAATTAGTCTAAGACATTACCCCCAAAATTGAAAAAAAATTTCCCTCTTTCCCGTTAATGGGGGAAATCTCCAAAAAAATTACAAATTTAAAAATCGCTAATTTTCGACATTTTTTCAATTTTTTTTACTTAAAACTGTCATAACTTCTTTAAAAATGATCAAATCAATATAATTTTTTTTTATGATACTTGATGTCTTTACCTATTATTTGATATATTTTTTTTATTAATTTGACCCTTTACCTGCCCATAAGGAGGGGAATTAAAATGTCAACTTTTGCACAAAAAATTAACTTTTCAACTTAATTTTTGAAAGTGTTCCGGAAATAATGACACTTTTATATATATCTTAAATTAAAGCTAATGTAATATACTTAATGAAAAAAAAAATATTTCGGACTTTATTTTGTCTTTATGGTAAAAATGGCTACCAAATGCTATTTATGTGTGAAAATTCTCGATTTTATATTTTACATTTTTAACTTTATAATGCTATAACTTATTGAAAAGTGTATGGATCAACATAATTTTTTTATGAGAAATAATATTTATATCGTTTTTTCATTCTACATACTTCATTTAATCAGGATATAAATAAGGAAATAGTAGATCATGTAGATTTTGGAATAATCAACCAATGTTTTAAAAGTAAACACTATCTAAAGATTTGCATTGAAGCGTTTTTTTGATTGTGATTTTAATCACTGTCAGATATCATTATACTTAATCTAACTATGACGCGACTCCCCTGTGCTGGGTTTTATTTTTAATTATTCGGTAAACTAATTAAAAAATTATATAATACATCTAAAACTTCTTAAAGGCACAGAAGGAAAACTCTTGATTGGGTAGTATGTCTACCATATTAAATATGGTTAAATTTTAACTTAAATTTTAAGTTTTAATGTTAAATACTTTCTTTAAGAAATTAAATTAAAACTTACGGGGGTTAATTTTTCTCCCAGTTTAAATATGCGTATTATAAACAAGAAATGAACTTAAAGATACACATAAATACCTTATCATAATTACAATTTAATAATAATTTATCACATATAAATATAAATTTTTGAACGATTAAAAATAAAATAAATGTAGATACTATAAATGAAAATCTTATTAATTTTGAGGCTTATTTCCTAAAGTTAATAAGTCCAAAAATTGTTTTTGGAAATTTCTTATTAAAATTTATTTTTATTCAGTAGGTTTTTTTTTCAAACTTCAATAATGTAATTTTTTAGAAGATATTATTGAATTTACCTTTTATCTCTTTCAAAAATTTCTATTAATATATCAGCTATTGATATGTAGCAATACAATAAATTCTTAATATTAAATGATATTCTGCTCGTACAGTTTTAAGGATGAGCTTCAAAACATTTCTTGTTAGGATCTCCATAAATGAATTAATGGTAAATAAAACAATAAAATAAATAAATTCTATCAAGCAGATTAATTTAAATTTTATATACCAGCGAATATCAATTAACTATAGTGTAATAAATAGTTCTAAATTTATTTATACTGATTAATGTTTACCTTGCTATGATCATCTGATGCTTTTATTAATATTTTTATACATGTACAGAATATTATAAAATAAAATATAGAAAAATGTGATTTTTTCATTATAATTAAGATGTTTCCTTTTAGCTACCTTTATTCACTTTAACGGTATTCGATAAGTGATATTACTCTGAATCAACACATATACATATTATATTTGTTAAATTTATTATTTACAATATTATTTAGTAGACTATAAGTTAAACTATCGTTTTACATAACAAAGTAAATAATAAAACATTTAACAACAACATTTCTTAACCTAAAATTTAAACAGATTAATTTATTTTATTAATTGTAATAATTATGCAAGAAAAAAAAAAATAAAAGGCTAAAACTCTTCATTTTCTCTCAATCTTCCAAAAATATAAAAATCGTTTGTTATGATGTTTAAAAATATTTTTAGAGATTGGAGAAATTTATGAGAACGTTTAACACATAGTTTGACGCTGATGAATTTTCGGCAGTAAAAATATGATCAACTATTTATCAATTATTTTTATTTAATTATACTTAAAACATATACTTCAACCATACACTTGAATCATCTTTTTGTTCGATTTGATAAGACTTAGGCTTTTACTGAGCCAATAGTATTATAGATATAAAAAACCATATTTTATTTATTTAAATGGTGATTATTTTTGAATAATAATTTCAAAACCCTAATTAAAAAAAAATGTATCAGTCTAGATTATTCTATTATATATAATAAAATAATATATGTATATTGTTATAATGATTCAAGTAATTGTACACTTATAATTTATTATTTTAGTCATTCATATTAAATTTTAATGGTACAAATAGGAAATCACTATTTTTTAATTTAAAAACCAACTTCATTTCAATTTATCACTTATGTTCACATACATGATTAATCATTATATATAGTTGATTGTTTAAGATATTCTATCCAAAATACTGTTTTAACCTTAAAAAAAAATCAGTTTTACAGTTTTTTTGGAAAAAAAACTGATTAAATAAGTTTTGGTTTTTTTTCCAATGTCTTTGTCGTCACAATAATATAAGCATATTAAATTAATTTTTTTTTATTTAATAAATTTAAACGAATTGTTTTGCATCGAATTTATTATTCACAATCCTTTATTGTGCCGTTCTTAATGGTATAAGGTGATGGTATTTATATGACTTAACGTCATTTATTACGTGTAAGGTTGCAATTGTTCGCTAACTTAAAAGTGACATTTTGTTTAACCATAAATTTTACCTTTTTTATTTTTATTTGTCTATACAATGAAACAAAAAAATGTTATATTTATTCTAGAATATATTTACCCAAGGTATAATATTTCGAATGTCTATACTAAATCACAGAACTATTTAAAAAAAGATATTTTATTTTTCGTGGTGACGTCATATTACGATATTGAGAATAATTTAGTACACTTAAATTATAAAATTGTAAATCAATTTACTAATTTTGTAGCTAGAATTTGAATACAAAAGTTGAAGTTTATGACTAAGAATACTGTACCCATATTAAAGTATTAAAATAATGTAATTCTCTGTTTCGTGAAATACTATACAAAAAGTAATTTTTATGTATCAATATGAAAAGAGTATGTAAACAGAGTTTATAATATGAAACTTTGTGAACGATATTCGTAAAAATAGAAAATATGGAAATTCTTATAAAAATATTTTACGCATAAACATGCATGTCAATAAGTGAGAGCATTAATGAAAATCATTATTAAAGATAAATAAATAATATTTTATTAATATTTCTAAAGAGAAAAAAATGTGGTCCTATTTTGAGAAATTGATTCTAAATTTTTTTGGCTAACGGTAGAAAACAAATTTTTATGCATAAATTATAAAAATAAAGCTATCTGTTATTAAATATGAGCTACAGAAATATACCATAGAAAAATATATTTTAATATCTGGAGATATACGTATTGCATTAAAATGCATAAACTAAATTACAATAAGATCATAAAATTTCAACAAAAATCTCACATCACAATTTTCATTTGATAAAATAACTCATAAAGTGTACATAGTCAAAGCATAGAAAAACTAAAGATTTTATTGAACTTCAATTTTTAATAATAGATTTTGTTAGATATAAAATATTAGAAATACTCAACGTTATTTCTTGAAGGAATTCACATAAATCTCTGTATTATACTTTGTATAAGACGTTTGTGCCTGTGGATAGGGAGTAAGAATATTTTTACGGCTTCTCTGCTAGTCGTTAGAGGCGACTAATGGGTTTCGTCCGGTTGACAATCGGCGTAAAATTTTGTCAAAAAGAATGAGAAGTCCTAAATAAAACTTAGGCGGATTGTCCTATTTCGGAGTACGCAGGACTACAGGCGAGAGGAAATAAAGTAGAGGCAGATCGCAAGTAGTTGGAATTAAGGCGATGAAAAAGAAGAATTTTTATTCGTTAATTTTCCAAAAAGTTATGCCAGTTTTAAGAAAATAGTATAAAAAATGTCGAAATTTACCAATTTCAAAAATTGTAATTTTTGGGAGATTTTTTCCATTTACAGGGAACAAGGAAAATTACTTCAATTTTCGAGAGCAATATATTCGATTAGATACAATTTGTCATCTTTTGACGTATTGTTGAAAGAAATTGTTTAGATGAGAGTTGAGATAAATGGCTTCTGAAAAAAACACATCATGGTAAAAAAATCATAAAAATGTACATTCTGAATTACAAAGAGACCCAGTACTTTTTTTTGCTAGAAAGAGAGGGCCTATTCTTGTAACTTTTTATAGAATAATTTGAAAAATTTACTTAAAACATATATAAAAGTGTAAGACTAGTTTTGCGATAAATCCTATTACTTTATTATATCATAAAACTAGGCAATATGTGTTAACCAGTTCAGCTTTTTAAAATCCTAAACATCTATATTAATATTTTTAATTGTTAAATTAAGGGTATTTTAAATTTGTCTTTCAATAACCATAAAGATTATTTGATCTTTAGCCTAAAAAATTTGAAATGTGATTGTTATTTTAAAAATATGTCACTAGAGGGCAGCTGTAATAGGTTGATTGATTGAATATAACATAAAATACCTCACTATATAAAAATACAAATAACAAATGTGGCTTAAAAATTCAGTGTACTACGTCAATAAATTAAAAAGAATCTATTTAATTTAGTGACATCATCATTTTTTATAAAATTTGAAATAATTTTTAGGAACATTGGCATTGAACATTTTTTTTCGCAGTTTACTTATAACTTATAAAATTTTGATTCAACAAACAATGTACTTGAGCCATAAGAATTTTAATCCATTGTTTCTTACTTGTTAAAGATAAATAAAAGTAGCGTAGCTTATAAATTGTAAAAACTTTTACTAAATATTATGTATAATTTGTTTATGTAATACTAAAAATCATCTTATATATTGGAATATATAGTATTTTAGTTTTTGTCTAACCAAAAATTTTAGTAATTAAAATAAGACTAGTTAGAAAAAATATTCAACTATTATAAAATAGTATAAACTTCGAAATTTAAGGATAATAATAGACATACTTAAGCAATTCAAACTTAATTGAAACTCCGAATTCTGATAAAAAATATTAGAATAAACATCACTAAAAAAAAAAAAAAAATGAAAAGGTAAAAGGTAGGTATGTATGGTTAAAACTGAAAATTAATTTGGATTTATATAGAAATTTTAAATTTCAAATAGAATAAATATCATTGATATCTATTGAAATCAATTTTCTATTTAATAATCTTTCAAAAAAGGCTGGTATTAACAATGAGTGTTGTTATAAGCAATATACAACAAATTAATAAATGTAATACAATAAGTATAAAATTAAAAAAGTAGCAAAAAAAAAATTTCTTTTAGATTACAAGTAATTTTAACTGCTGATGTTATCTTAAGGGGTTTTCGTTTTTATTTAAATTAAAGCTTTTGAAATTTTATTCATGTAATTTTTTAACTTTAACAGGAAGCAAATTAACAGGAAAAAATCGAATATTATCACAGTTTTTTAATGAACATCAATGATATCATTACGAAAGACCCATGAAACTACACATTTTCAATAAATGAACTACAAAATATATATTTCACTAATCATCATTCATCAACGAAGAATATCAAATTAAAAATAATTTGTCTAAAATGTGCGTACGCATACATTCTAGATAATATAAATACTAACTTAGAAAAAATTGGATCATCAAATGAAATAATTAAAACTTCTGTCGTAACTTAAGAAGGATATACGATTATGAAAAGGATGTTATAGGAGTATCGCAAAATAAGAACTATCCCTTTTCTCGGGGTGTGTTGTTCAAAGGCCACTTGCTATCTTAAGTACGTGCACAATAAATTAGAATGTTCTTACCTTAATCATATAATCCTCATTGATACAATAATTTACTCGTGGAACAATAAAGAAAACATGAATTAGATCAACTAATTTGCATATAATATCTTCGACTATTTTATTGTTAAAAACACATGATACAGTAATAGTAAAGGAAAAACAAACAAAACCAAAAAAAATACAAAAACTGGTTTAAAAGGCGAAAGAGAGCCGGACGATAATCGCGACGAGTTCGTATGTCGGTTGGATCGAAACAGGTCGAGAGCTATGTGCCCAGGGATATTCTTAATGTATTCCCCGGATTCCCTACCATAGATGTGTATGATTATCGTCCAGCTCTTATTGGGTTTTACATTTTTTATGTTTCTTATGATACGTTATTGATCAGGGTTTTTTAAGTGTTGTGAAGGAGCGGATGTTTGTGGCGTGATCGTGGGAGTAGTGTTTTAGAGGATAGACGGTGTTTATTGTGTTTTATATGTTATGTGAAAAGATATTGTGTTGTAAAAGAATTTCTGTATGTGTTGAGAAGTGAATAAGAAGAAAACAGAAGACTAAATTGTTTATGTGTGTAGGGCCTATTACAACACTTCCATCAATGATTTCTGCGATTTCAAAAAATATATAGAGATTTTTGTAAAATCTATTGGCAATATGTTATCTGTTCTTTGTAAAGGTAAAATTATTGCGCCTAACTGGTTTTGGTTAACTTACATTAGGTTGAAAGCACTGAAGTATAATAAAATAAAAGTAATTGAATTATTCGATATTATACAAAGAAAAATAATCATGATTTTCTTTCTAAATGCA